AATGTAGTACATAATGGCCGCGAATATCGGCCGGGGGAACAGGAGGGGAGGGGGTATACGAAAAGCTCCTATCTGATCCTACAAAAAATGTACAATCTATTTTATCTACTTTTTAAATAAAGGTTTGGACCTAAATATTTTAAATAAACACGAATTCAAATTTTTAAATAAAGAATTCCCTATTACCCCTGTTATTTATTTTCTCCCCAAGATTCATAAAAATGAACAATTACCCCCAGGAAGACCAATTGTTTCTGGGATAGGTTCCCTTTTGTGTAATACATTGATACTCCTCTTCAGCCTTCTGTGAAACTTATGAAATCTTATTTGAAAGACTCTATGTCACTCTTAAAATTTTTAAATAATTTTACTTGGAAATCAAATTTTATACTGGTTACTTGTGACGTTCAGTCCCTTTATACTATCATCCCCCATGATATAGGATGCCAGGCTATAAACGACATTTTAACCTTAGAAGCTAAAATTCCTGCCACTCAAATTGATTTTATAATAGAAGGTATAAATATTATTCTAAAAAATAATTATTTTTGGTTTTTAGATTCATTTTATCTACAAAAGAGGGGTACTACTATGGGGACTAGGTGTGCCCCCAGTTACGCCAATTTATTTATGGCAGACTGGGAAACCCAAGCAATTTGGGGCAACCACGCATGGAGGGCAAACCTAGTGTCATACTTCAGATATATAGACGACCTGTTTTTTATTTGGGAGGGAACAGAGGATAATCTTATTGCCTTTATTAACAATCTAAATACAAACAATAGGGGTATTATTCTCACACACGAATACAGCAAGGAATCCATTAATTTTTTAGATCTTAATATTTTTATTAATGAAGGCCAACTCCAAACAAAAACTTTTTTTTAAAAATTGTGTGTTAACACGGCTATAGATAAATCCAGCTGCCACTATAAGCCCTGGCTTGAGAGTGCGCCAAAGAGTCAATTCCTGCTCCTTCGCAGGAACTGCTCAGAAATTACAGATTTTAACGAACAAGCCGAATTGCTAAAAAATACATTTATAGAAAAAAATTATCCAGAATCAAACTTAAATAATACAATTAATATAGTGAAACAAAAAGAACGCAACAATCTTTTAGTTTACAAAAATAAAGAAAATAATGAATTGATATCTCTTCCTGTGATTTTTAATTTTAACAACAAAAGCAATGATGTTAAAAAAATAATAAAAAAAAACACTGGCATATACTCAAACATGATGAGATACTCAACCCAATTATACCCACACACCCAAATATTGTTTTTAGAGGAGCACCTAATTTTAAATCTATTTTAACCACCAACTTCACTAAGGAATCCTCTACCAAGAATCTGTCTTTCATCCCCCAGACAAAAGGTTTCTATAAATGTAGACAATGTATAGTATGTAGAACTACAGACCATTCAGTTCCATCTAAAGTCACTCAATTTATGTCTAATGTAATCAAAAAAGTGTATAATATTTATGATTTTATTGGCTGCAATACGAAGAATGTTATTTATCTGCCCGAATGCCCATGTGGCCTCCAATATGTGGGGATGACCACAAGGTGTTTAAAGATAAGACTGAGCGAACATTGCAGAAATATTAAAAATGGATACGCAAATCATACTGTATCCAAACATTTTATTATGCACAACAAAGACCCATATCTACTTAAATGTATTGGTATAAAAAATGCTCTACCTCATGGTGTGGAGGAGATATAAAAAAGTTACTTGGAAAAACAGAAATGGAATGGGTGTATAATCTCAAGACCCTTATACCCCATGGTCTTAATGCAGATTTTGATCTGCATAATTTTTTTATAAAAATGAGTGACTGTACCTTTCATTTGCTGTTATTTTATACTATTAAATGATTTCACTGTGTTTTTTTAGCATAGTTGTTTTTATACACTGTCTTTTTAAATATTGTTTTTTAACTATGCTGTTATCTAATTATGCCTATATTAATTATTATTATTTTATTCTATATCTTTATAGAGATAAATGTCAATACATTCTTTTATTTATATGCCTGCCATTCCTAATATGGCTTCTAGGCACTTGTTTGCCCTCCCCAAGATGGCCGTGTTCCTCTTTTAGTATTATGTTATATCCCCCTCCCCTCCTGTTCCCCCGGCCGATATTCGCGGCCATTATGTACTACATTTCCCACGCGGCTGTGCGGCTTACTTCAGGTTCGCGGAAGTGCCGAAAATCACGTGGGAAATTTCTCACGTTGATTTTTATACTTTCCCACCCTCGTTGTTATTATAAATTCATTTATAATATGTTAGGTCATTAATAAGTACCTTCTTATAAAGTTATTTATGTGTTTTTATATTTGCTTATTTAACTCTAATTCTGATTGGCTGGACCATTTTTTGGCGCCACATTCTAATTATTTGTGTTCCTATATAACACCAATATGCCAGGTAATGTTTGTTATTCCATTTGAAAAAGTCTTTTTGACGAAACGCGTTATGGAAATTTTATATTGTGTATTTCTGTATTAAAAGTATATTTGGTCATCTGGTTGTGCCAATTATCTTTTTTACACATAATTTTTATTTATTTTTACCCTGGCTTTTTATTATCTTATTTTTTATCCATTCTGGTTTTATTAATATTTGGAAGCTTCCTGCACCCCAAGAAATCCTAGGTGGGGATCAATCCACTTATGCTGATACCACAGAGCAGTCCGCCTGCTCTTTACTTGTAAGTACGTTTTTATTTAATTTATACCCACATTACTATACAGTGAGCACTATTGGCTGTCTCTTCTTTCTTGAGAACCGGACACCACTGACGGAGAGGTACCCACCATATATCCCATAAGCGGGGATTATACCGCTGTACGCGCTTTACTCTAGAGCTGGATATAAGCTCTTGTAAATGTGAGTCCTCTACCATTGTTTTTTATTACGTCCACAATTGAGCTATACATATTGCACTATTGGTTGTCCCTCTCTTTTATCTTCTAGATAAGCGGAACCACTATATCTGAAGATCCTACCACAGTACCAGCCTCCTATAAAGATTATCCGTAAGGACATAGAAATTGGACATTTTTATTACTTGGACTTTTATTTTCTCTTAATATTTTATGTGGCGCAGCCTTTTTATTTGTTACTTTTATTTATCTTGTTTTAAAGGGTTCTTGGGGGATTCCCCTTTAAAGGTTGCTGCCTCTAAGGTGACCAGTGCTGTCTCATCCATTCACTATTTCTATTATCTTTGTGACCAAATGAAGCATTGTGTCAGGCTCCCGCGGACGGCTGCGAGGGGAGGCTGCACTCCGCTCGCAGTACTCACCCTCCAGCCGTCCGCGGTCCCCTCCGCCTCGTGGGTACGGCGAGCGGCATCCTTCCAGCCTCGGATGCCGCCCGCCGTTCCCTCCACGTCCCCCAGCGGCAGCATGCATGACGCTGCACGCTGGGAGACCGCCCAGGTTTATACACGCCGGGGTCAGTCACCTGACCCGGCGTTAAAGGCAAAGTGCCACAATCACAGTGGGAGGTCTAAATATCTCCCACGTGTGATTGTTAATTCTGATTGGAAATCATCCAATCAGAATTAACCTGATGGTTTAAATACTTACCTTTCCTGTTCCTCCTTGCCCTGTTGTGGTCTTTGCTTGTTAGTATTGATTCTGAACTTGTGCATTCTGGTTACGTACTCTCTGGCTTGTTATCCGACTCTGTGACTTTCTCCTACCCTTTGACCTCGGCTTGTTTCACGTTATTCTGTCTTCTGGTTCCCCTTACTCGGCTTGGTTCCTGACTATTCTTTGTGTGCTTAGCCCGGCCACTCTAAGGTCCGGTACGGCACTTTGTGTGTGTGTGTGTGTTGGCGTGTTGGGTTCCCCGAATCGTGACATTACAACAGGGCCATAATGGAACCTGCTGACATACCACAGCTCCTAGTTAATCAAGAGGCTAGAATGGATGGCTTAGACCACCGTATGGATCAGTTTGCTCAAGCTTTACAAACCATTCTGGCTCGTACTGCACACTTGCAACCGGCCGTTCAGGAGGCTGCTGCTGCTGTGCCCGAACCCATTCCCACTCCAGTACCTGTTCCCGCTCATGTAGTTCACATGACGCCGCCACAGCGCTACAGTGGTGACCCAGCATTGTGTCGTGGTTTCCTCAACCAAATCGACATCCATTTGGTGATGAATCCACGCTCCTATCCCACTGACAGATCTAAAATTGCCTTTTTGATAAACCACTTGTCCGGGAGAGCTTTAGCATGGGCCAACCCCATTTGGGAAAATACGTCTCCTATGTCCTTTGCTGATTTTCTGACAGCTTTCAGACGCACGTTTGATCAACCCGGTAGGGTTGCTTCTGCTGGCAAGGCTCTGCTTAGGGTCCGACAGGGTAACAGGTCTGTAGCAGATTACACTATCGAATTTCGTACTCTAGCAGCTGAAGTGGTTTGGAATAATGACGCCCTCGTAACAGCCTTTCAGGAGGGTCTGGCCGCTTATATACTGGATGAAATAGCATCCAGGGAATTACCTGCTCTTCTAGATGATGTTATAGACTATGTGATTCTTATAGATAACCGTATTAGAGAGAGGCGTAGCCAAAGACGGTTGGATACACGGGTGTTACCTGCTCTACCCAGTACTTCCCTGCTAGCGTTACCCGCTCCTGTGCAGCCATCCCCTGAACCCATGCAGTTGGGTGCTACAGGGTTAACTGAGGCCGAAAGAGCGTACCGTAGAAGGGAGGGGTTATGCCTTTATTGTGGGAAGAGGGGGCATCACTGTAAAGCCTGCCCTAAACTACAGGGAAACTGCAGCACCTAAGGCCTAGAGAGGGGTCGGCCTCGGGTGTTATGACTTTGTCCCCTCATATGTCCATCTCTAGACCGTTTATTACGGTTTCTCTCTTGGTCAATAAAACCACTATAACAACCAAAGCCCTGATCGATTCAGGTGCGGCAGACAACCTTATGGATGAGACCATTGCCAAAACTGCAGCCCTGAATTTGATTCGAAAGGAGACACCCTTGGCCGTTGAGGCCATAGATGGTAGACCACTGGAGAAACCTCTGGTAACCCATGAAACCCAGGAAATAGTTATGTCTGTGGGTGTTTTGCACAAAGAGAAGTTAACCTTCCAAATAATTAACTCCCCAACAGCCTCCATCGTTCTAGGTTTTCCCTGGTTAGTTAAACACAACCCTGTTCTTGATTGGGGTTGTTTAGATATACTTTCCTGGGGGGAATCTTGTCAGCGAGACTGTGTGGCTCATGTACGTCCTGTCTGTTTACTTAACGTACCCACAGCTAAACCACTCTCGGTTTCTGTGCCCTCTGTTTATGCGGATCTTGCCTTGGTTTTTGAGAAGAGGGAGGCAGATAAGCTACCTCCACATCGTGAGTATGATTGTGCCATAAACCTCTTACCGGGCACTATACCTCCTAGGGGAAAGGTCTACCCTCTTTCTGAAAAAGAGAACCAAATCATGGAGGAGTACATACAGGAATCCCTAAGAAAAGGTTTTATTAGAAGGTCCTCCTCTCCTGCTGGTGCTGGTTTCTTTTTTGTGGCTAAGAAGGAGGGTGATTTGAGGCCATGTATAGACTACAGGGGTCTGAACAATATAACAATATAACGGTTAAAAACGCCTACCCTATCCCCCTCATCACTGAGTTGTTTGATCGTGTTAAAGGTTCTAAATTCTTCACCAAATTAGACCTCAGGGGGGCTTATAACCTTGTCCGTATAAAGGAGAATGACGAGTGGAAGACAGCGTTCAACACACGCAGTGGGCATTACGAATATCTGGTCATGCCTTTTGGATTGTGTAATGCTCCTGCCGTGTTTCAGGACCTCATAAATGATGTCCTTAGGGATCTATTGCATGTCTGTGCTGTAGTGTACCTTGACGACATACTTGTGTATTCTCCTGATTTGAAGTCACACCATAACCATGTTAGGATGGTGCTCAAAAGGCTATTGCAGAACGGACTCTACTGTAAATTAGAAAAATGTTTATTCGATCAGACCTCTGTGCAATTCCTAGGATATATCATTACTGAACAGGGTTTCAGTATGGATCCTGCTAAATTGGAAGCTATAATGTCCTGGCCACTTCCCCAAGGACTAAAGGCTATCCAGCGTTTTATAGGATTTGCCAACTATTATAGGAAATTTATAAAAAACTTTTCACCACTCATATCTCCCATAACGAAGTTGACAAAAAAAGGTCTACATCCTAGGGTTTGGACTCCTGAAGCCCTTAAGGCCTTCGAAACCCTCAAGAAGGCATTTGCCTCTGCTCCGGTGCTGCACCACCCCGATCCTTCTCTTCCCTTTGTTATGGAAGTAGACGCCTCGGAGTCAGGTGTGGGAGCCGTACTGTCACAGAGGTTGTCTTATGACAAACCCCTCCATCCCTGTTGTTATTTTTCTAAAAGGTTGTCTGATTCAGAGAAGAATTATGATGTTGGGAATAGGGAACTATTAGCCATTGTGTTAGCTTTCAAGGAGTGGAGGTATTTATTAGAGGGTTCTAGACACAAAATTATGGTTATAACAGATCATAAGAATCTATCCTATATTGCTGATGCTAAAAGGTTATCTGCCCGGCAGGCTAGATGGTCTCTATTTCTCTCACGCTTCCAATATGTTATCACCTATAGACCTGGTTGCCGTAATGCCAAAGCTGACGCCATCTCTCGGCAGCATGAACCAGTAGAATTTGTTAACCCGACTCCTGAACCTATTGTACCTGAGTCTCAGATAATAGCTGCTACCCGTTTGGTTGTTTCTTCACCTTTCCTTAACAGTATTAAGACATACCAAACCCAGGCACCCCCTGAGACGCCGGTTGGTAAACTATACGTTGAAGCTAATGACAGAAAAAAGTTGTTAACTTTATTTCACACAGCCAAAACTGCTGGTCATCCGGGGGTTACCAAAACCTACAAGGGCCTCCTTCAACAGTTCTGGTGGCCTTCACTCAAGCGAGACGTAAGGGATTTTGTTCAGGCTTGTCAGGTCTGCACGCAATGTAAGTCCCCTAATATGAGACCCCAGGGTTTTCTGATGCCTCTATCTATACCCAAGAAACCATGGACCCACTTATCCATGGATTTCATTGTAGACCTGCCTCTTTCTGATGGTCCGACGGTGATACTGACTGTGACGGATAGGTTCTCTAAAATGGCGCACTTCATTCCGCTTAAGAAACTGCCTTCTGCGGTTCAGTTAGCTCAGGTATTTGCCAAAGAAGTGTTCCGATTGCATGGGGTACCCCAGGATATTGTATCTGACAGGGGCCCTCAATTTGTCTCTCGGTTCTGGAGGGGCTTTTGTGCTGAGATGGGGGTATCCTTGTCGTTTTCTTCCTCCTATCACCCGCAATCTAATGGTGCGGCCGAACGTGCTAATCAGTCTGTGGAATTGTATTTGCGCTGCTTCACTAATGCGCACCAGGATGACTGGTCTCGCCTTCTTCCGTGGGCTGAATTTGCCAGGAATACGGTGTCTCATTCATCTACTGGCTTAAGTCCTTTTGAGGTTGCTTATGGGTTTCGTCCTTCTGTCCTTCCCGGTGCGTTCTCCGACAAGGGAATGCCCGCCTTGGACCAGCACCTCACCTCTTTGCGGAAGACGTGGGATCAAGTCCATGTTGCGCTGTCTCGTTCAGCGGCTGCTCAGAAAAAGTTTGCTGATCGCCGTAGGGTTGCGGCCCCTTCCTATGTTCCGGGTGATAGGGTATGGTTGTCCTCCCGGAACCTCCGTCTCAAGGTTCCCTCAATGAAATTTGCCCCCAGGTTTCTTGGTCCCTTCAAGGTGTTACGTAGGGTTAATCCCGTTTCCTACTCCCTTGATTTGCCTCCTTCCATGCGTGTCCCGAATACGTTTCACGTCTCGCTTTTGAAACCCTTGCTGTGTAACCGGTTCTCTCGTCCCCTCGGGCGGCCCGTTTCCCCTCGAGCTGTCTCTGACGACGTGTATGAGGTGGCTACCCTTCTCGACTCTCGTGTTTCTAGGGGTCGGCTGCAATATTTGGTGGACTGGAAGGGGTACGGCCCTGAGGAGCGGTCCTGGGTTTCAAGCTCCGATGTGCATGCTCCCTCTTTGGTCCGCTCCTTTCATGCCCGCTTTCCTTTGAAGCCTTCCGCTTCCCGCCCCCTGGGCGGTCTTCGAGGGGGGGGTAATGTCAGGCTCCCGCGGGCGGCTGCGAGGGGAGGCTGCACTCCGCTCGCAGTACTCACCCTCCAGCCGTCCGCGGTCCCCTCCGCCTCGTGGATACGGCGAGCGGCATCCTTCCAGCCTCGGATGCCGCCCGCCGTTCCCTCCACGTCCCCCAGCGGCAGCATGCATGACGCTGCACGCTGGGAGACCGCCCAAGTTTATACACGCCGGGGTCAGTCACCTGACCCGGCGTTAAAGGCAAAGTGCCACAATCACAGTGGGAGGTCTAAATATCTCCCACGTGTGATTGTTAATTCTGATTGGAAATCATCCAATCAGAATTAACCTGATGGTTTAAATACTTACCTTTCCTGTTCCTCCTTGCCCTGTTGTGGTCTTTGCTTGTTAGTATTGATTCTGAACTTGTGCTTCTGGTTACGTACTCCCTGGCTTGTTATCCGACTTTGTGACTTTCTCCTACCCTTTGACCTCGGCTTGTCTATCGTTATTCTGTCTTCTGGTTTCCCTTACTCGGCTTGTTTCCTGACTATTCTTTGTGTGCTTAGCCCGGCCACTCTAAGGTCCGGTACGGCACTTTGTGTGTGTGTGTGTGTTGGCGTGTTGGGTTCCCCGAATCGTGACACATTGCTTTTCTGCCCAAAACCAGTTCCACAGAGTCTTCTATCCTGGAGATAATTGGGAAGTAATCCAATTATCTCCAAGGACAGAGGCAAAACTCCATTGAACACATGGCAGCAAAAGACAATAAAATACATAAAATATATAACTGTGCAGCCATTGCATAAAACAGGTACATTCAACATATCCCCAGATAGCTCAGATCTGAGCGCACATTATTACTGAATGGCGCTCAGAGCACACACATACAGTTCAATTGCCATGGAGCCAAAGTCTTTCCCATAGTCTTTCATTATACGAATGGGCTCTATGGCATAGCTATCTGGGGTATCACCACTCAAACAGGGCCAGCACCGAATGACCCGGCTTTCGTGTCTTTGCAGAGGAAAATCAAGCATTTCAACATGGGGCCTGTAGCGGAGAGCTGATATTCCACAGGTTATCTCCACTTAAGATCCCAGTGAGGCTCAGGAACAAGTATTATAAATCCATAAGGCAATAATTGCAGCAGGCAAAGCAATCCAACAATATCCCAACATCAATCCCAATGACTGGACGACACACAGCATCAGGAGCAGAACTGAACTTTTAATCACTCAACCTTCTTTTAAAGCTTTCTCCCATGCAAGGGAGGGATTTACAGTAATTACACAATACAAAACTCCAATCTCCAACACCTCAGGGCACAATTAATGTGTTAATCTGACTGATTGCATCAACTTCCTTGCTAATCATTTGGATCACTCCTAGAGAGACCGTGGGTTCCATCACTGGACCCCTTCTGAATCGCCTCATCATACCCCTATATCTTGGATTACCTGGTTAACTAATTTGAACAGGCCTTGACTCTGCTTTTGGAATTTCCTTCAATACTGATTGAACGACCTCGGACTGGATAAAGGACATTGCTTATGGACTAACCCTGGACACATCTCCTAAACTTCTTCTATTTTCAAGGACTGTCAGTTTATCTCTCTGCTTTGCTGACACACCAGCTGGCCGTGCTTGAACTGCCTCAAAATAAAGTGAGTGGTTCTTTTTGTTTGGCATTTGTTAAAGAAAAAAACATGAAATAGACATACAGAGTGTTATCCATCACACCGCGATAGATATACTGTCAGGATTACAGAATGATCCAGCACGTAGAATTGTGTAACACAGAGTACTGATAGGTAATGTATACCGGACCTTAGAATGGCCGGACTGTAGCAGAGAGTTGGTCTTTCACAGGTTAACTCCACTAAAGATCCCAGTGAGGCTCAGGAACACGTAATAAAATACCATAAAATAATAATCACAGCAAGTAAGGTAATCCACAAATATCCCCATACTGATCCCAATGACTGGACGACACACAGCATCAGGAGCAGAACTTAACTTTTAATCGCAAAACCGTCTTTTAAAGCATTCTCCCATGCAAGGGAGGGATTTACAATAATCACACAATACACCAATCACATACGAGTTGCCACCCACACATCCCCTCCCCTTAGTGTGACACATAATCCCATTATGCAGGACACAA